CCCCCCCCCCCCCAAGAAATATATCAGGTTTCATATCCACAAAGCTGGAAGTTGGGTATTTTTCTGTTTCCTTTTATCAGTGAGTTACTACAAAAAGACTCATTTGGATCATTAACAGAAGTTTTAATCAATGAGACTTTAAACTTAAACATAAGATAATATTAAGGGTCCATCCAATACTGCATGCTTTTCTCAGAAATACCTAACCAGTTAGCCCTGAGTATCCCCTATGCAAAATGGAAAAGCAGTAGTCCAGCTGGTGTCCAGCTTTTTATTCAAGAAAAGCAGAATCCTATGACTTTCCCATTATCACTTCCTAATTAGAGCTTTCAGCTGATGCCTTGTAGCCAACATAATATCTATTGTATATTTTATTTGTGCTTCATGTAGGACTTTTTAATCATTGTTTTCATTTGGAAGACTGCTTTATTAGCTTTGTAAAAAAAAAATCCAAACTGCACATTATATTACCTTTATTAGGCCAAACAAACAGTGACAAAAATCATTATGCTAGCTTTCATTGTATTCTTCATCTGGTAAAGATGATTTTTAAAAACTTATGTGAGAAAAGGAAAGTGATATTGGAGGAGTTGTAGGTCTACATCTTGCTTATTTGAGATGTTACTGGGGGGGGGGGGCAGGAGAAAGAGACAATGCAGACAGAAGTTCAGATTGAACTTCTCCCCCAAAATGGCTATGAAGACTCTGTGGGGTGTCTTAATAAAAGTTTAATAAATAACTATGTTTGATAAAGTTCCCATAATTACAATTAGTGTATTCCAGATCAACATTTTATTTCCAAACTACCTTTATCAGGCTGGCAATCCTTTTAGCACAACTTCAGAAAAGAACTTAAACTTCAGACACAATTTTCTCCACCATAGAAAGGCTTTATACTTTCCTGAATCCTCTATATAATGCATTTGTCATTACAAGGCAGGGATAAATGCATTATTCCTTTTTAAAAAAAATATCCCAAGATGAACAAAATAGAAGAGCAACCCACTCTTAATTGACTCAGGTGTGATATCGTTAACCATTCAGCTAAAAACAGTTCAGCCAAAAAGCCCAAAAATGATTATTTAAAACAAAGGGGTGATAATATAACCTCTCACTTAAGGACAATCCTGCTTTGCCATTGAATGGGCATAATCTTCTCTTGTCACTCCCACCTCCCATTTCACAATAGCTCTTCTGTTAGTGAATCCTACTGTTCATTTATATGCCAGTAACTTCTGAAAAGGTGTTATTTATTTCATTTTACTGAAACAGTTACAGCTGCAGTAGAACTTTGCTAATCATTCTATACAGTAAACAACAGAACTATGACCCCCTGGATGATGTTAAGACTGCAGTGCCCTTTATCAGTGTGGTGTAGTGGTTTGAACATTGGACTATGACTCTGGAGGCCAGGGTTCAAATCCCAGGTCAGGTGACCTTGGGCAAGTCACAAACTCTCAGCCTCAGAGAATGGCTATGGCAAACCCTCTCTGAAGAAACTTGCCAAGAAGCTTGTGTGATAAGGTTGTCTTAGAGCTGCCATAAATCAAAAACACCTTGAAGGCACATAACAACAACAATCCCATTATCACTTCCCATTGAACCAAAATAGCTAAGAGGAGTGCTATGGGTGTCTTTGCAGCAAAGCAAGAGTCTAGTATACCCAAATGAGGTGGTATGTAGACCTTTGCTATTTTTAAGTTCTCCCTGAACCCCTCCATATTGAACAACTACAAGCAGTTCTCCTTTAGAAGTCCGACTGACAGTAATATTAGCTTCATTTCAGCACTAGGTTAAAACATGGGTTGTTGTTAAAGCCTTGGGGGTCTAATTATTTTATCCATATAGTACACATACACAAATTTAACTCTTTGCACTTGCTTTAATGTGTTAGATGTGATACACCACACTGAGGCTGCATCTGCACTGAAGAAATAATACTGTCATGGCTCAATGCTAAGGAAGTCTGGGATTTGTTGTTTTTGTGAGATATTTAGCTTTCTCTGTGAGAGAGCTTTGGTGCTATAACAAACTGCAAATCCCAGGTTTCCACAGGATGGAGTTAAAGCAATGTCAGACTGCATTAATTCTGCAGTGTGGCAGCAGTCTGAGATCCCTGTATATATTGCTTTTTTTCTCTCTTAACTTCTCTTGCTCATTTACTTGCTCACTCTCTCATTTCAATTCATTGTGGCAACATCCAAAAGTCGAGAACCTATTACACAAGGAGAGATTGAATGCCTCTTCGTAAAAGCTTTGAAAAGGTGCAGTTATTCACACAATAGGAAGTTGCATAAAAGTATTGCCTCAATTGGATCATGTGCTACAATTTGTGAGCAGTGTGGACCTCTGGGTTATAAGGCAGATGTGCTTGCAGAGGAAATGTCTTATCTCCAGTAAAACAAATATA